ACGCCAACCACTTGAGCCGTCGTCTCCTGCTCGATATCAGCAATAACTTTGTCGATTTCGTCAGCAAAGTACCTGGCCGTGTGCTGTTTTGATCTCGTGGACCATGACGACCAGAACATGGAAGGCATCCGTGGGGCAACCACCATTAAATTTATAATGCTGGAGCCGTTCGTATCCGTCCAACCATCCGTAACGAGTGACACGTAGGTATGTGCGTTGATCAGGTCAATAACTTTCGAGCGAATTTCATCTCGTACTTGTTTCAACAGCACCATACTCAACTTGTGACGCGAAGGTAGCTTCACTGACGGTGCTACCAAAGCAATAAAGTCGCGAAATACCAGAGCCTTAAGTAGCATAAATGGTATAGCACACACAAAAAACACCCGTGCAAGTGCCATTTCGAACGTGTCTTGATCAATCTCCCTTTTCGCCGACTCTGCAGTCGGTTGTGACGGCGTCACCGCTGGTACAGAAGGTGGTGTTGGTCGTAGAGAGATCTGCACATCTCTCGGGACATTAAAACACTTTTTGGCCTTCACCAGGTGGTCCGACAAGTTGCCACTCGGCTTACCGTTCTTCTTCAGAACGCCGCAATAGTTACACCGCCCGTGTTTCTTCCCATTCTCACGCTCGATAGGGTAGTGTTTCCTGATGTCGTCCCGCGGTCGTCCTGTCTTCATAGGAGACGCTCGTGGTCGTTGTGACGACCCTGGTGTACGGGGTGAGCGCGCTGACGTTCGGAGAGTACGCGGGGAACGGAGAGTAAGGGGAGATCGAACAGGCGTTGAAGTGCGGGGGGTCGAGATGAAGCTACAGCTCGTGGTAACTTCGGCGGGGCTGGGGTAGGGGGGGGAATTGCACTGAGGGCGGGGGGAGGCGAGAACATCACTCTACGTGAGCTTGCTGGTGACCTTGAACGGCCTTCGAGCGGTCTTAGAGGTGATGAGTCCCTCTGGTAGGGGAGTCTAGAAGCTGCGTGGGGTCATTTAAAAGCTGTTTGAAACCGACAATGATGCTAGACGAGTGTGTGGACAATCTGCTTTTCTTGCAATCAATAGCTGAACTCGAGTATGTTAAAAAGATCACCGACGTCGGCTACATGCGCTACGGGGGTCCGATGCAGAGCTCCAGAAGCTAGCGAAAGAGGTCAGTCAACACGCCTATCAACTTGTTGGAAAGCAGTATCGTGTGGCGAACGACAGGAAGACGCGTTACACAATCCGTGAGCTACAGAAGTATGTGTTTGAGCTGACGTCGTCGGAGGATTCGAGCGCTTATACCACGTTGATACTAGGGTGCGTCCAATATTTATCTATACTTTCATGACAAAACCTCACGTGTCTATTATCTTCATATTTTGCAGAACTACCGCTGTTCGTGTACGTTTGCGAGGAGTGAACTACTGCCATGTCGGCACGTGATTTACTGGCGCCTACTTTCGAGCAAGAGTCCGATCCCGTTAAGACACATTAACCCCCGGTGGTGCTTGACGTCCCGATCAAATTTACCTGTGGAGGAACGTGAAGTTTCATGGGGTGAAGCAGCATGTCGCTCGTTCCGAGTTCGTGAATCGTCGCTAAACGGATATCACCATCGTGTGCTTAACGGAACGAATAAGTTTCGTACGGCTTACGATGTTGGTTGTCGAATAGCCGATCTTATGAGCCGCAATGGGACTCCAGTTTACGAGGACATGCTGGAGGCACTAAAGAAGTTCGAAGATATTGTGAAAGATGGCGTGGCCCCACAGATAACTCTGGTTTTGAACTCATCAAGTGGAGATAAGAGTCACCCTGACAGTGTGGTCGGTGTACAAAGTCACTCTGAGCGTATACAACGCCACTCTGAGCGTGTGTCCGATGGCGAAAGCCACTCTGACAGTGTGTCTTGTGATAAAAGTCACACTGACAAAGTCGTGAAAACCCCCTCTGAAATGGCGGTGCACTCGGCAAAGTCTACACTTACAAAGCGGTCAAAACCAGACGACCACCGTAGTTCTGGATCAAGTGGTGACTCTTCGTTTTTTTTTTAAAAAAGAACCAAAAGTAGAGGGCGTCCGGCTATCAGAACAACTCAGAAGCGAAAAGAGAAGAAGCTGCGAATGAAAAAGTCAAAGACGGAGGCAAAACAACTGATTCGAGGCACGTTAACACCGATATCAGCGCTATCAAATGTTGGAACAGTGATAGATTCAACTTACTGCTACGAGTCAGCTTTCGAATTCTTATCCTTTTTTCCAGTGAAGAATGTCGGTCCGAGAAAGCAAGCCATAGCCACGTCAACAGCACCACAACAATGCATCAGCGCAGTTCGTGTTGCCAGAAAAGTTCTGATAAAGTGTACTCGATCGCTTGAAGAATTCAAGAAGTCACATTCAGACGCTGATACAAAAGTTGGTGTTCGAGTTCCAAAAGTGGGAAAATTTACCGAGTCTCAACTGCAACTGATGACAAAGTTAAATCGCGTAATGGAGAAGGTCTCTGCTGTTTCTGATACCGTCGATTGGATGCAAAGTACCCCTTTGGCACGTCTAGAAGTACCTGACGAGCTCTATAAATACAAGGAATTGGACAAGCTTGCTGCTGCTACAGCGATTCAGAAAATGGTTATTCCCATGTCCCAACAGTCGAGTTTTGGCGCGATAACGAACGAGTCGCTTCTGCTGTTCCGTGGGGATACTTGACTAAACGACGATATCTTGATGCATGCAATGACATTCATAGGAAATGCGGTTCCAAAGGTGGGATTAATTTCTCCAAATGTTATGGGCTGTGAATGTGAGGAAACCAAGCGAAGCATCATTAACAAGACCCAGCCTTTTCAATTAGGCAACGACTTCGTACTATTTCCGCTTCATTTCGATGGCAGCCACTGGTGCGGCGCCGTCTTCGATTTCCACACGTCTCCTCCAACAATCAAACTGTATGACCCTCAACAGAAAAAAAATGCTTGAAATCCTGCGAAAATATCCTAAGGGCTGTATTTCCTGAGAAGGTATCCCTGATGTCAATCATTCACGTAAAATCACTGAAACAAGTTGACGGAGTCAACTGCGGGCCACTGGTATTGCACTTCTTTGAGTATACAGTCCGCGGCTTTTCTCTTCTAGATTTTGTATGAAACGCCATCCTGCGGTATATTCGATTGCGGTATTTGCTGAAGTCACTGCATGTTTAAATTGTTTAAATACACACCAACCCATTGAAAGGATACGTCTTATACGCTTAACTCATATTTTTCCTTACTTATATGTGTGTTCCGGCAGGAATAATAAACAGCCGAGCGACACGACAGAGACGACCTTGGTTCTCGTCGATAAAACTTGTAGATAACTCTACCCTTTTTTCACGCTGTTGGCCTCCGTGCAGGGGTAGTGACGCTGACACGCCATGCCATTAAAAAAGCACTAAGTCAATTGTACACTCACGTAACATTCCATTTCGAGCCAGTGTACGATCTACATTCAAGCTACAATTAGATTTCGATGATGTATGCGCATACAACTATGATTGATGAAATTTATGAATTTAAAT